GGCTACTCCCAGGCGCTGCAGACTTCAGAATGGAACTGTGACTACAGGTATCTCTAGATGAAGCACTACATCCTTCAGAGTAAATCCCTGGACCAACAGAGAGGCAACTCCAGAGCAGCTCCGCAGATGAGCAAGAGGAACCACTGCTCTTCCTGCTCAGTCCCAAGACATCAAATACACGCAGCTTAAGATGGTCAGATTCAAGCAAGAAGCTGGATGGGACTGCACACTCCCTCTAGGGAAGCTCTCTGCAGCATCAAGGTGCTGTTAGCAATACACATGCAGCTAAGCTACTCCAAAAGCTCTATGCGTTCCCAGCTCCAAAGCTTAGATGCTTCCACCCTGCTTGCTCCCATAGAGGAGCATCCCACCTCCTGGGCAGTGACTCTGGTTGCACAGGGCTCTGCACAGTATTCCAGCATTGCTGCCTCTCCCTTAGTCCTGCAGCAGAGCTGTATAAAACATGCAGACATTTTCATCACTTAACTTATGGCTGCCCTGCGGGAATCTGCATAAGATTACCCAGTGCTCTTTAAATCAGTCCCAGAACAATTGTTTCCAGCAGAGTTGTTCTTTCCTCTGTAAGCAAACCCCCTTTCTCAGACCAGCTTGGCTGTTACACCAGAGCAACGTCTGTTTATACCAACTACAGAGGTTGTTCTTTCCACCAGGATGGATGGGTTGGCTTCTCCTCAAATCCACCCAACAGTTTCAGCCCAGCTGCATGGCCACTTTCAGACATCTGACGTGATCCCCACCTAACAGAGCTTTCCAAGTTGCCCTGGTAACAGCAGGGATGGGTCTGAGGCTTGCAAGGATATTCACTGTGACTGTGCACCAGAGCAAGGCCAAGCCACCACTGCCCTCTACATGGGAACTGTCTTAGGCACATCTCTGGTCAATGCTGAAGGACTTCAGTAGTTTCCAAGACCAGCTCTATTTGAAGGCACATGGCACTGCTGCCTGTGCAAGGGTTCACATCAAGCCCACAGCTCTGAGATAACAAGTTGGCCCTATACAGCTGATGGCTGGACCTGCTACAGACCAATATTTCTATAGGGGCAGACTCTGAGGCTGCTCACACCAGCATTTAGCTGGAGGAAATCCCAGCTGCAAGCCCTCCAGGATCAGGGGAATCACAGTGTTACCAATAAAGAGCCATTTCTCACCCTTCCAAATCCACACTCCAAACAGCAGGATGCAAAAGGGAGGATTTCTCATAAGCTGAACTACTCCTTCAGGAAATGGCACATTTAGCACTTGTTTCAAGACTTTATTTCACCCCATTTCCTCTGTACCCCTATCCCAAGCTCTGCAGGTGGCAACAGCAGCATGCTATCTCTGTAGGCAAATCCCTTGATCTTTAGGAGGAGTCCTGTGCACTTCTGCCAGGGTGACCTGGAGGCAGAGATCCTGCACACACCTCCTGCCTGGTCCCCAGCACAGCCACCACCTCCTCTCCCCAGCATTACCCCACAAATCACAGTGGCACCAGATTAAGCCTTTGGCTGTATTATTTCTTGAGGTTGACTCATCACAAATGTTGACAGTAAGGATCAGCTGTTAAGTAACAAGGCAGAAAACCAATTCCTTTCCATATATTCAATAAAATCCTGTTGCTTCCTTCAATGGAAAGCATACTGCACCACATTATTAACGGGCCCAAGAGGAAATCACTCTTTGGATTTGGAAAGTCAACATTAATGGGTTCAGACTGCAATAGAGGACATGCTCATTTTGCAATTGAGTTACTTGCTCTGATACACTCTCGATGCTATTTTCCTGGCAAATTGTGATTGCTAATAAATTGCAATAACTTTGGGTTTACGTTATGAGTCACAGAAGATTACACTGGGCAGTAATGATGCTCCCAAAGCGGAGGGTCTCTACAATGAAATGTCTTGCATATGGAAGCAATTCAGAATTCACAGATTCAGAGAACGAAACCTACACGTTGCTGATGAAGAAACCATATTTTGATAAGATAATAGGCGGGAACACAATCTATCAGGCATATCCCTTAAAGAGAAAAGAACACAAAGCTCCTAACATCTTCTAGTAGCTCAGGCTTCTCTCAAAGTCTTCTGAAGCAAATAGATTAAATCCTACAGGCTTCCAAAGGGCTGAAGACTAAGTCTTCTCTCTTCCTCACAACAGGAACATGCTCCGGGTCAGCTCACACCATCCCAGAACACTTTATCCTACAATATCCCAGCCTCCTGCTTATTATGAGCTGAAATCTGTTTATTTCCTTTCATATTTCTCTCCTTCAGTGTCTCACTTTGAATCCCTCCCCCAGGGCAGCTAAAGCAGGAGTTTTAATTTTATTGCTGTTAGTTCAACTTCTTTTATATCTATATTATTATTATTTTTAAAAGCGCTGTTTACTCAGAGCAGCCCTGCTCCCCCCTGGTTCGTCTTTTTCTTCCCAGGCATTTCCTAGCTGCTGTGCTCAGGCTCCACCTCATCATGTAAATCCAATTTAATTTGCACAGTTCTGCTTGACTGGGGCTGTTTTCTAATAAGTTCAAGCTCCGTGAAAAATTCCAACCAGGTGATACACTCAGAGCCAGCAGCTTCTTCTACTGCTGTGTGCCATGAGGATCTTCACAATATGCCCCAAGAGGAGGCAGGTGGCTTTCAAAGCTATTTGGCCTTTTATTTCTCGTATTGACTCTGAGTCCCAACAGTTAAACCTTTATGTCCCATTTCTGCCTCAAAACCCATTCTGCCCCCGGGTTATTGATACAGTTGGGAAACTCACTGTGTTTACTTTTTTTTGAGAAAACAGTTTGTTTCTTTAAGGCACTAATTTTAAACCAAGACTGCATCTGTGCTCATACCAAGTGTTCTAACACTGCATTTCTCCATCCTACATTTTGATAGGGAGTTGCCTCCAAAAACCTCTAGAGGAGAGATGGTAGCACACAGCAAACCAAGTGTTTATGATGAAGGATAAGTTGTATTTCATGGTTTCATTTCCTTTGCATCTCAGTGGGTGAAATTCTGTGAACACTCAATAGACCAAAGAGCAAACACCATCCGCACAAGAGGGAGATGGTTGAGTCTAGGAGGGCCAGATCAAAACCCAGAGCTAGATCCAAATATAAGCAGAGCCTGAATGGTTTTGGAGCAGCTCCTACAAGCAGAAGCCTTCACTTCATGCCTCACGCTTTAATGCATGTTTGTGCCATCCCACAAATCTCATTTTTGGCCGCAGACTCAGCCCTGAGCACAGCTTAAGCAACATTCACAACCACTGAGCAGCCACTGCATCCCCTGTGAAACCCCTCCAAAAATAGCAGTGCTGCAGCCCTCAGCCTACCTAGGGTACAGGAGGCCAACCGGGGGGTCGGGCAACATTTCATCTGCTTTCCTCTGTGAGAAAGAGAGCCTCCAGCTTTTGTTCCCCTTAGTCAAGAAAACTGAAAAAATACTCCTCCAAGGGCTTTGTAAATAAATACAGGATGCCATGACAGCTCAGGTGATTTATTGGCACTTAACATTATGAGGGTGATAGAGAGCACTGCAATAGTTAAGTACCACGGTCATGGCCATTATAAACATTTTTTTAGAGGGGTTTATTGCAGAGCTGTAAAAGTAAGCTCTAGGCTAGGAGCTGGCATGCGAGTTCTCTCTACCTTTGAAGTATTTATTGACATTAGAAATTTGGGATGGGGGGAGGAAAAAAAAAAAAAAAAATCAATTTGGAAACTTCGAACAGCAAGGTTTAAAAGCAAGCAGATAAGAGAAGGGGGAAGGAGGAAAGGGAGCGGTGCTGCCAGGACAAGGAATGGTCAGCAAATGGCTTGCCAGGGAGAACTTGTTGGTTCACCTTTTTCCATGCACGTGTGACTCACACAGCAGTGGTTTCTAAAGTGTTTCTGTCTTTCAAAGTATTTGCCCAGCCATTTCCATGCAGTTATGGATGTGTGACTTACAGCTTCTTGCAGCAGGCAGGCAAGTCACCCTCAGGCACAGCTTGCCATCAAGCACTGCTGGGCAGGCTGCAGATCACACCTGGCCCCCACTTTCCATTCAGGAGAAGAAATTTGTGCCCAAGCAGCTCAGCTACGCCAAGTTACACATTGGCAAGAGTGAGACCAGTGCACTTCAAAGGCCTGTTCCAGGCAAGATGATTGCTTTACCATTCCGAGGACGACTTGCCAGATGCAAGCACTTCTCATTTCAAGTCCAGAAGACACCATCATGAGCCTCCTCTAAAACAGAGGCCGTTCTGTCTTTTGGTTAAATGCCCATATTGCAGCAGCATTGTCCCTGCTCATCAATTTCCTCAAGCCACCTACTCAGCATTGCTGTACCAACACCAGAGCTCACAGGAACATCTCCAGGAAGACCCATGCTACCTATACTTTTGAAGCTGGCTGTGGAAGAGAACTGCATGGAAAACACCTAGGAATGGATTTACTGCCCAGGACAGTAAAGGAACTGTGGCACTGAGCAATGTGGTTTAGTGGCCATAGTGGTGATGAGTTGCTGGTTGGATGCGATGACCTTAGTGGCCTTTTCCAACCTCCACAGCACAACTCCAGTTTACAACATCTTCTTCAGATTACTGCTAGGATGGGAAGAGAAGCAATCAGGAAACTTAGCTTGGGAGATCTCAAGCCAAACCCACTATTTATAGTGAAGATGAACCCTGTCTAGAATCAACAGCTGAGGAGGACCCCGCTCTATTTTTATATCTGCCCCTTTCACAGCTAATTTCACCCCCAAATCCTCCCACACACTGAATGAGGGGTTGGGGATGGATGAGGCCAGCATGGAACAGATGTTCAACTAATTTGCTTCCACATGTCATTAAATATTTCACATGTAGGAAAAGGATAAAAGCAAGAAGATTAAATATGGATGTCCTAAGTCTAATTAACATCCCTGCTGGTAAGCTGGGTGTGTTTTATCTTTAAAACAGAGTGACACCAGCTTCCTTTGTAACATGGTTGAATCCCAGGGGAAAGCCATCAGAAATAACACATTGATGTTATTAAGAATTGTTTATTATTACTGTTACTAAGCTTGGGTAAATCCACTCATTATAAGACCAACACAACTTTTGTGAATGAGTTAAAGTCTTTTTTAAGGTCTTGAATAAGACTTTGAGTATAAAAAGTTGGATATGGGTGAGATGCTCTTAAGGAATTTTGACAAGTGCATTTGATCAACCCCCCCCCCAGAAATAATGCAAAATAAAAATCAATGCATCAAACTGTCATCACTGTGAAATGCTCATGCCTCAAACTTTCCAGTTCAGTAAGGTTATAAAATATTAAGGCTTTTTATACATTTAGAAGTGTGAGCTAAAACATAATTATAACATGAAAATGGTACAAAATAAAGAAAACTTATGTTTTATAAGCTCACCATGCTGGAAAATTTGAGGCACAATAATCTTCTCTACAGCAGTCTCCATACTACGGTTCCAAGTTCCTCACACCTTGTAATATAATTAAGCATCCTCCTGAATGCTTTGTCACACTTGAATTTCACAGACTATCATCAGAAACAGCCAACCAGGCTTCAATCCCCACAGCCATCTGAATACTTGGTGGCTTGGAAATCAATTTGTTCTGAGAGCAAATATGAGAAGCGAGCCCTAGGGGTAGCTTTGGCTCTGCAAACCAACTGCATACTGAGGAAGAGAGAGAAAGGCACAAAAATATTTTCTTCCCAGATGCAAATGTGCAGGCAGGTGCCAAAGACTTCTAACTACATGACTTTGTATTTGGCCCAGTGACAAAATAAACCCCTGGGTAGGAAGATACAGTAGTTCTAAGCAATAGGTTAGGTTTCAATTTAAGCAAGGCCTAAATAAGTTCTTTATCAGAGGGAGCAGCATTAATATATATTTTTAATAAAACGTTGGCCCTGAGGTCATGCGTCTGAGCTGTTTTCTTTTTCTTATGTTCTAACAGTGCTTTCAGATGTTCATATCCTGCAGCTGCAGTTCCTGTGTAAGCATGGCTCACGTTGCCAAACCTGTGGCAAACGGATATTAGCACCTAATGGCTGCTTGTTGCAAATGGGCTATTCTTTGGCACAAAAACCTGTGCATCTCTGAACATCTGGGCTGAAGAGAGCAATGAAGTAAATCAAACTGAATCAGCCTCATGGTTCACTCTGTGACTGGTCCCCTGGTAATTACTGGGGATTAGTAACGTGGTAGACACTCCTCGGCTCAGTGGTCGGCTGATTGATTGCAAGAGGTATGCATGTCAAAACTGCCCTAGTTATGAGTGTAAAGACCATAAAGGAAGAGGAAGCTCAGAAGATGGAGCATAGGACAGATAATTCTGCACCGTAAGGGCACCCCTATCCCCCCTCCTTGTTTTTCTTTCTTCCTTATTCCGCAGGAAGAATTACCTAAGCTGAACACAGTTGCATCTCATGATGCACGGTCATAATCAAGCCTTCAATTCTCAGGGACCGCCTTGGTGCTGATGCTGACCTGGGAACAACAGATGAAAGGCAGAAAAAGACAGGAAGGGCACGCTGTCCTGCTCAGATGAGGTAAAGGCTGATGGTTTCAGCAAGGAACATGCTGGCTGGAGCATGTCCCAACCCTGGTTCCCAGCTGAAACTGTGTACAGACTTTTTCCATGTCACTTCTCTACAAGATTTGCTTTCCCTCGTAAGGAGATTGTCAAAGAAGAACCACAATGGGCTTCCCTAGGACCCAACTTCTACACTGGCCATTTCCCTTCTTAATTCAGCTGAGCCAGGAGGGTTCTTATACTTTTAGACCCTCTCTATTGCATCTCTTGGACACCTCCCAGAGAGTGTAGATGCAGGGCTGCTGACCCAACTGCAAGTGCCTGGGCCAGATTGGGTGGATCATGAAAATTCAGGATGGATAAAAATAACCTGTAGCATATCCAGGGCTGACTCTTAAGTGTTAGGGAGGGCAATGAGGAATGATACTCAGATTTTGGAAAACTGAGTGGAACATTCTAGCTCTTTTCAAAATATACAGTGGAAATAGCTGGGCTCAGGGAAAAGGACTATAGCCAGGGCAACAGGAGAAACAGCAGCAAGTCCTAGTGCTGGTAGTGCTACAGAAGTTGAGAGCTGACTCAGAAAGCAAACTTCTTTCAAGCTGCCAATCGTCACGTCCTCGCCTGGCCTCTATTAATGCATTTCACCAGTGCACTGAAAGCCAAGTCCCCAGCTATGGGTCAAGCCAAAGAGAATAAGCTCAAACAAGGGGCAACCAGCAAAAGAAAAGTTCTCCAGACACTTACTGTGGGCCAGAGGTGAGGTGATGTGTGATTGTTATTGCAGGCTGGGAGGTGCGGTGTGCTTGGCAAGCTGCTGTTTCCATCTGCTCGCATAGGCTGGATGGAGGAAGGCAGAGGCAATTTCAGTCAGGTCATTGCCTCTAGCAAGCCAATGGATAGGAGGACAGTCTCTCCTGGGTAGCAACCATGCATAAAAGGAGAAATAAATTCAGCACTCGTCCAGTGAGAACGCCTTGTTCTGCAGTGTGGGCATCACCATGGGCTGACTCCAGAAAGAACTGGTGATGATGCTATTAATGAAGTGAGCACTGACTCTTCTCCATATTCACAGTTCACTTTTAGTACTTTTACTACTTGTGATCATCGGGCAGAAAATCATAAATAAAACCTGCTTAACACGATGGTCATTTTTCAAGCAGGAAGTGACACTGGTTGACACCCAGCTATTAATTTGACATGGGGTAGTAAAATCATTTGATCCTCCTGGCAGAATTTTATAGGAATTAAGCAGCCTTAAGATTTATGGCCGACATAGTGCTTTCATGGTAAAGCCTGGTATAGAAAAAAGAGGAACATCATTTCTTTTTGCAAAGGGATTTTTTTGCTCATGGAAACAGTCACTCAGGAAACACTTGCCTTCCTATAAACTTCTTTTCCCCATCCCCAAGTTACAAAATTTCTCCCAAATTACTAGCAGCACAAAAAAAAATCTTGAAAGAGGCATAGAGAAAGGGATGATTTTTAGGTTTGTGAACCTAACTCCCAGAAACAAAGCATATGCTACAGCCAGAGTGATGGTAGTCACAGTTCAAGTCTCAAGGGTTGGCTTTTAAACCAGCTGTCAGATGAAAGACTAGATGGTCATGGAAGCACCACGATGAACACCTTTAACTAGAGTGAAAGTAGGACTAGAGAGGTTGTAAGCTGCTCATCATAGCCATATTATGCCCAACTCCAAGCTCAATCACAGCTCCCACCACAGGCAATAGAGGTCAGAGGCAACGAGCACCAGCAGACTACAAGCACTTGGACATCAACTGAAGACCAGCAGGAGACTCTCACTGTGCTCCAACCCTTGATCATGTCATCCCTGCACTGTACTGCAAAGCTTGGTTCACACACACACACACACACACACACACACACACACACACAATATCACTTCAGTTAAATGAATATTCAACACGCACTGGGACTCTCTCCCCACTACAAGTCTGCAGCTCACACTTTGGTTGTGGGCATATTAGAATAACAAATAGAGTTGTGAGCATGAGGGGACGCACAGAGAGGAACTCTGCCAAGTAGAAATTGTGCACATTTTTCCTTGCATCAGGCTCCTGACCCAGATGGCAGCAGAGCAGGGTTGCACTATCTCTCACCTTCCCACTGGCCACTGCTGTGCAATTTTCCCTCCAATCAGGGGGGAAAAAAATGGAGGGTGGGTGGAAGCACGTGGAGATCCTTATCACACTGCAGTCAGTAACACCACATCAACCAACATGCCTGATGTATTATACCACCTCGTGAGATGAGCCAAGAGACCCAAGCTTGTGCTTGCAGCCTCCGCCAACTCGCAGCCAGCATCACCTCTCACGTGGAAGCCAGCTCCCTGCACACTGCATTGCTCAAGCACTCAGCTTTCATGCCCATTTTCCCAGAACTGTTTGAAATACAAGAGGAAAGTCTTCTGAGCACCCAGGCTGATATGAGTGAAACCTGGATGCTCATATAGCTTGTCTCAACCAAAGCACCGAGAGTCAGCAGATGAGGGATGGTGCTAGATTAGGAGCACCTGAAAAGGACAAGCTGTTGGAAGGAGCAACAGACTCCATTTTGATTCTTTCAGCTCCCCGCAGAATCATTAAGGTTGGAAAAAAATGACCAATATCATCAAGTCAAACCCCAACCCACCCCACCATGCCCACTAGCCATGTCTCCCAGTGTCACATCTCCATGGTCTTTGAACACCAAGACAGAATGCGACTCCCCCACTCACTGGACAGTTTGTTCCAATACATTATGGAACTTATTACTGCTCCTGTGATTTTTATTTGTCTTTTTTTTTTTTTTTTTTTAAAAAAAAAGACCCAACCTCAACATCCCTCACACTGACCTAGAACCCTTACCATCAGGCCCCACCGCCAGAGAGGCACAACTGTGAGCTGCCTTTACCAAAACCAGTATCCAAGCTGGCATACAACAGTGACACCACTAACAAGGTGAGAGCAGACAATGACACCACTAACAAGGTGAGAGCAGACAATGTTATGGGTATGGCTGTGCATTACTGAGCTCAGGTGGCTTCTGGCTTATATCCCAGCACTCTGAGCAGTGTGGAGCCAGTCCTGACCCACAGACAGAGCCAAAAGGCCATTGCTGCTCTCCTGCCTGCATTGCCTCCAGTACACTTCACAGCCTCAGCTGGAATTCCTGCATGCACCAACCTGCAGTGAGAGGGCCCTGCACCAATGAGATTTATGTGCTCAACAGCAGGAGATTTTGGGGAGCAGATGTAGCGAGAGAGGTGACGCAGGGTCATGTTGGAAATACACAGCAGAGGCAAGTTAGCCTAGTCAAACTAAGCTCTCAATAGCAAAACCACCACACCATCTTTTCTCTTGAAGAGATTTTCCATGCCCTAACAAGCCTGGTGAAGGACTTAAAGACATCTGTGTTCTCTTGAGTGAGCAAGGACCTCATGATTTGGGAGAATGCCATGGAAAAAAAAGATGTCCAAGAGTTATGAAAATAAAAGTATTTATCTTCATTGTTAGAAAAAGAGACTGAGCCTTTTATTTCTCTCTCTTGGAGGATTAAGCTCACAGATTTACAAAGAACTGGTTGATTACCAAAATAAATACATCACCATGCCAATTTATAGGACACAAATGTAGGAAACCCATCCAACCAAATCAGGCAAAGTGTAATTCATGTGAGAGCCCTCAGCATGTGCAAAGGGCACAGTGCATGTAGAATAAAGTACATAGGAAAAACATGCTAGAAACCTCTATCTGCAGGAACAATTCCCAGTGCAGCATACAATGGAGCTATAAAATAAATGGCTTGGCTCTCCACTGGAAGCAAAGCCCAACTGTTCTCAATGAGAAGGAGGATCATGTATCTTTATAATGAGAATTCAGTCATTTTTAAATGTTGGCTTTGCTCATATCACCACCAAATCTGTCTGCAGAGCTGACAGGCTGCAGACTTCATTTGGATTTCTAACTGTGATTATGTATGGCAGTGATGGATACCCTAGGGTTTTCAGGAGTTTAGGGGCTGGCTTTTGTTTTTCAGTTGTTCAGTGCTTGGAATCAAGGGGGATGCTGGGGTCATTGTCCAATGAGGCCTGGAGAGCTCTAGCCTCACCTTGATAGTTCTGATAACACAAAGAGATGAAAGCAGGCTCTGAACAAGTTCTTCATACTGGCAAAGCTGCCCCTTCTGCAATGAAACCCTGCAGAGCTTCTACTTCCAGTGCTGGGTGAGGTGGAGCAGAGCACATGCACTGAGGCTGAGCACATCACTGCCCAATGAAGCATAAGCACCATCCCGTGCAGCAAAGGTGATCTGCAGAGCACAAGAACATCTGCTTGCTTAGTTCAAAACCCACAGCCACGTTAATGGCCAGGAACTCATTTAGGAGGCAACGGGAACCTCCCTGCATTTGCAACATGAAGCATTTGGTGAACAAACCTAGGTAGTAGCCTGATCTAGGGCACTGTTGTACTGGTTCAAGTTTGGGCACGCACTGAACAGAAGTTAAATACATCCAAGTCAGTGAACTGATGGCATCCATCTGGTCAGAAGCACATTCTTCACAAGTGGATGAAGAGCAGATCAAGGAGCTGCCAAGAACAGACATGCCCAGCTGAGCCAGCCTGGAAAGCTGGGTCACAGCAGACAGCATCTGCTCTGTGTTTCATAGCACCAAATGGTCCCAGCACAACAGCTCTGTACAGGGGCTGCAATTCATAGGGTTCACCAGTCCTGGAGGCTTAGGGAAGTGATATCAACAGCTAACACTGCTCATCCAATCCTTTGCCCTACATCCAACTTAGCTGGAGTCTTGCTTATCCCTGACCATTCAGTCCTGCCCTGTTCCTTTCTTCAGATGGTCAGGTGTCTAAGTGTCCTGCTCCTGCATTTTGAAGTATTTCTATGTATTTATATTTACACAGAAGCAATGAGACCAGCCCCTCTGTCCAGCCACGCTGCTTTGCTTCTGCTGCTTGCTCACCCTGCTGGTGCAGATGACTAGCAGCACTCTTTCAGGATTTCCCTGTGAGCAAGCATGCCCTCTGCCCTTGGGGCAGCATCTCTAACTATCAAGAATACATACTGAGAACAAAAGCACCAGCAGCACAGTGCAGAGAGGGATGGCCCCCAGGCCCTCTCCCTTTCCAAGAGAAAGGAACAAGTCAGCATGGAAAGGCCAAGACAAAAACTACTACCTAGTCTCCAGACAGCAGAAAGGCAGATCAAAGGACATGATTTAGGGAACACGGTGAGGATGGGTAGACTAAATGATCTTGGAGGTCTGCTCCAACCTTAATGACTGAAGATTCTTCAGCCATCACCATGGTCCTTGCAGCAAAGGGAATTCTCTTCTTCATGCATATATGTAAGAGGACATGTACTTCAGAATCCCTGAATCTACTTCCCATCCCTGCCACAGATACCATTCTGATGCTGCACTGATAGGAAATTCCCAAAAGCACGTCAGTAGCACTAGTTGTCACACACCTATATTGCTTTTGCTGTCCCAGCTCAGCAGTCTGCTTTGGTTTCACATGTGACATAGATTAGCTGCAAATGTTTTACAATGTGCAGCACCAAGCCACACAGGCTCCCAACCCTCCCAGCAGCATGCCAGCCCCTCTAGCCCTGAGCTCATCCCAGCTCAGGGCATCTGCACACAGACCTCAAGGCTGAAATGAGAAGAGCTGTCCCATTTGATGGTTTCAGAGAAGTCTAAGTCTCCATGCAGTGTGAGCTGTGAAATATATGAACTCCCAAGCTTTACATGAGCCTTGCTCTTCTGTGCAATATCATATGGCTTTCAGATTCGTCTGCCCTGTCCACCTTTCCCATGTGTTTCTGATAATTGCTTGCAGATGGAGGGTTTTCTCATTTGCCCTCAGAAGAGACCTGCTGTTGTTCCCTCTTCTTAGATGAGGCTAGGGCCATACACATCATTTTTATTGGTGCATTTTATTGCCCCTACTTCTTTACAGCACATGCCACCAGTCTCCCTAGCCCTCTACGTTCCCTTCCAGGCTGCTGTTTGCCATTGCCTCTCTGTTAGGTCTCCTCATTCCCCATGTTCATTCCTCAGCTGAAACGTTACAGGGGCCCCCCAATTAAGAGAATGCCTTATAAATCTCTCTGCATCCAAATCAGATCCAGAGCCTGGCTGGGGAGACGAATCTGGAGACAGCGGGTGGATCTGGCATTCCTCACTCTGCAGACATGCTCAAGCACCACCCTGCTCCACGCGCTGCCTGGGTGAGACCCGGGCTCACGCATCCCATGGTTGTTTCAAGAGGTGGGGAGACCTGAACACCACCCTCTTCGGCTCCCAAAAGCATCCTTACATAGATCAGAGTTCCAAAACAGGGTGCTGATCCTATGGTATCTCATCCTCGGCTTCCCACCAGGACATGTAGCTCTTGAGGTCTCCTACAGTTGGGCAAGTGGGCAGTAATCTTGTTCCCAAGCAGCCTGGTATTTCAGCATCGTATCAGAGAGGCAGCCAGGAGACCCTCAAACCAAGGGTGCAAGCTGCATTTAGACGTCCTTCTGTCAGGGCTCTGCTCTCAAAGCTCCCCAGAACTGCCCAAAAGCCAGGACAGAGGTTCTTCCTACAAAGCCCCACCTGGATGCAGCTCATTGCCCAGTTCCATGCTTGTGCCCACCCTCAGCACCCAGGCCCTGGAGGAAGCACCTCAGAGCTCTCCCTGGATTAGGGCTCGTGGGTCAACCTGTGCTCTTTCAGTTGATGCCACGTGGGCAGGGTGGAGATACTAACTCATGACTTACGCATTGCTTTGCCCAAATTGCGTGTCAAAAGCAGTAGGTCAGAACACAGCCCTCAAGTCTCAAAGTAACACCAGCTCCCTCAGTAAAAACCTGTGCAGCTTGGAGACACAACAATTCAAAAAGCACGATGGATAATAGTGGCTTGAGAAGAAAACACCCTAAATCACCATGTTATTTTGTCCATGCTTGCCCACAGTCCTGACTTTTGATCAATACTGTGCCTGCCCCAGGACTTAAGCTCAGCCTCCAGTCTCTGCATTATAGTTGCACACAATAATTTCCTCAGTACACACATTGCTGGAAACACGGTGCCAGAATTCCCCAATACAAAATCCTTCCTTGGGTCAGTGCCCAGTGCTCTGAAAAGGCAGTCAACATCTGGAAGCAGTGATACTGCACATCTGTGAGACCCTCACAATTGCAGGATGGAGGGAGAACCACCTATATAATTAAATCCTAAATAGAAGGATGCTAAATGCACGCACCTTCCCTAACAAGCTAATGCTTGAACTATCACGCAACCCATATACAATGCTGCTTGCAGTAAACAGACCTTGGGATAGAAGTAGATGGGAATTTCACCTGCACATCTCCCTTTTCCGTCATTCAGGTTCTCCTACTAATCAAGTCCTGATTTCCCAGCACAGGGGTCAGATTTAGCAGAACCAAAGAAAGGAACTGCACAGCCCTTTCTGTTACATCCCCATCACATTTCCCAGCCCACACCATGGCAGAGGGGCTCTGCTCACATCCCACATGGCAGCTCCAGCCTGGCCACATCATCACACTCATATACGTGCATCACTTCACATGCATGAGAAATCCCATTGGAATCAGAGAGGCCAATGGTGTGCTTGATGCTAAATGTTTGTTGCACTGTGGTTTCAGGAATCAGGAACAGGGGTTTCAGCAAGTCAATAAAAGCCAACGGTGTCTGAGTCAAGGAGAATGTAATGGATCCGCGTTAGCTGCTGTTCAGTCCCTGCTGTATTTGTGTACTGACACCTCCTGCTTGGCTTGAGGAGTATGAGAATTCAAAGAGGCATTACTTAAATATGTTTTTCTACTCTGTTTACATTCTTTATGCAGAATTCTCCCCTTGAGAGACAAGATAAAGAAGCACGATCAACCCAGCCTCTGCAGGAGCTTGGAGAAACATTTTGCTGAACAGAAAGAACATCTAGACCAACAAACACCAGTACCAGAAGCTACCTGTACAAGTTAGAAGAGCCATCCTTCTAAACATAATAGGCACATTACAGACAGATAACAATTTGCACAAATAACACATGTAAGCATAACCTGAAACACCAGGTAATAATAATGCATTCTGTCACTTCTCTCTTTGATCCAAGACCTAGGCTCATTCCAGATATTTTCTAAGTCAGCACAGGTAAATACTGCTGTATGTTTCCAATGACTCCAATCAAAAGCTTTATTAAAAAAAAAATAAAAAAAATAAAAAAAAATCAGAGGCTCACAGGACTGCAGTTCAGTAGCCTTCAGGAGTGCCTTTTGGAGAGCACGGGGCAATTTTTTTTCTATTTGTATTTTTTTGCTTTATCACTAGTGAATAAACCTATTATGTGGACACCCTATATCGAAATGCTGAGAGATCTGGGTTCAAAAGGAGGTTTTTGTTTTGCTGTAAATCCTATTTGTGGCTTAGGGTGCAGCCGATACGCCGTTAGCTTTTATTTCATTGATAATTCTGTGATTGTAGCTGAAACTTTGCAACTTAATGAGCTGATGTTATTACTCATACTGTGTGGCCATCTGGAACCAGTTTGGTCAGAGAGCCCAAAGCACCGAGAGCCACCTGTGATGCATTAAGTCTCAGCCCAGTACCAGCACCGTGGATTTGAGAAGCCAGGCCTGCATAAATACTAACCTGTGAGAATGTAATTGGAGAAGTGATATTTAAGAACTTACAGTTTGCCAGAAACACTCATTCTCAGGGGAACGTATGGGGAGGCTTAAAGTTTAAAGCCAAGGGGTTTTTAGTTTCAACATTGTGAATTGAGAAAACCATTGCATATGGATGTCATTGGAGTGTCCAAACCACTGGGTCTATCCAAACAGGGCGAGCTGTGCCAGCGCCTCAGAACCGCCGCTCCCTCCCAGCACCTGAGCCCCACGCTGCACATGGTCCTTGTTATTGAGGTACCATCTCCAGACACCACTCCAGAGGGGCAGAAGGAATAATGGGGTGCACGCTTTAGCATCCCAAAGAATCAAGAGAAAAAAATAATACATCACCGCGGAGGTCACAGGTAAACAATCACTAACACTCAACAGATTGAAAAGGCACAAAACAGCACCTCTGAACCTCCCACAAAATGTTCTGTTGGATGCTGTGACTAGAAACAAGCTGCTTTCAGTCCAAAAATATAAGGTGAATTGAACACAATTACCTGCAAGCCATGCCTTGAACAGACCCAGCCTCCATACCTCCTCTAAGCCCAAGCTGCTGGTAGCCATGATGTGGTAGAGGCAGTGTTTGCAGAGACCTAAATGAGCGTGGTTCCTTTCTCCTCGTTAGCCCATTGATTTACACCTGGGAGACTCTGCACAGCTTTCAGAGATGTGGGTAAAATGCCATACAATTAAATGCAGTATTCTTTTGATTTTTAAAACCCTTGGGGGCATTTCAGTCGGAATAAAAATATTGGGGATTGCCTAAATGTTACCTAAAGCCCCTGGTTAAGTTAAAGATACTGAAAACTGTGATGATTTAAGGCAGGAGGGCAAGTCCTGGAGAAGCAGAAGTGGTTCAGCCCTTGCAAGGCTTTCAGTCTGTTTTGATTCTCCTGTTTGCTCTGTACAATAGGACTTTCCAGAGCAAGTACAAAGGAATGTCCTTTCTTCCAATGTAACACAGGACAGAGAACTCAACCATTTCTCTGTATTGTTTCTCTTTGTTCAGCTATAGATGTTCCCCTTTGTGCAAACACCCCTGCACACAAGCATGCAGAAATACTTCCCCAAGAGCCAACTGTGATAAATATGACTGTTAACAACAAGAAAATGAGCTTTCTTTCAGCTGATCTCCCTCTTCCCCATCTGATCTGGCTCTTTTTTTCCACAATGTCAAAGAGGTGATGCAATCTTTGGGGCAAGAGGATTTGCTGCGGGTAACTCAGCACAGCTGACGAGGTTCACTCTGTGCTGGTTTGGCAGCCACGAGTGCACTTTGTCAACTCTTACTTTGCAGCAAGTGGCCAGTTTTTACCAGAGAGCAATTAAAAAGACAGAAACAAAACGTCTGAAGAAAAGCAGTCTGAGTCTGTCGCCCACTTTCTAGCAGCGTGGCAGCATGTGCAAAGGGTAAATCGAGGTTATATTCTCAATGAGAAACAAGGGTTAGTGAAGACTTTGCAGTAGACTCATGCAAATTACTTCTCCTAGGACTGCAAACCACAGCAGTGCAAATGCTGAGCAGGTGCAAGCAGGAAACCAAAGCCGTAAAGAAGCATATTCTGTGCTCAGCAATACCCACAATGGGGTCCAGAAGGCCAGCCAGAGTGGAGAATGTTCCTGTAAATGAATGATTAAAAAAAATAAAAATCTTGAAGAAGCATGGAATTGATGAATTTGGGAAATAAAAAATACTTCTTGCTTTTCCCCAGCTGTACTAGTAAAATGTATGGAAACCTCTTCAGAAACCCACTCTAGATGAGTGGAGAATGGCTTTATTGGAATAAGAAAGATGAAATGCCCTTTCTTTAATTCGACTCTCCCATTCCCAAACCATGGGGCCATTTTCCTTTGAGATTCAAGACCTTTTCCAAACCACAGTTAGACTTGGAGGCTGGCAGGACTTTAAGAGACCTAATGAAGACTGCTTGAACAAGAGGCCACATTTCCAAGAGGCCACAGTCCCAGTGGCTGCTGCCTAAAGCTTTTTGAAGACAGGAATGAAGCCCCAAAAGTATCCAGACCATCTCATTTACACAGGATTCTTCATCTTAGACGTACAAGAAACCATCTCTAATAGGAAACCAAACTGGCGGACTCCTACACATCACCTTCTCTGCACAACCAGTCATCACTGCTTAATGATCTCTCAGGAACACTGTGACTAATGCAGCTCTCCTCTGTCTGCGGTGGGAGTAGAGCACAGCATGTCAGGAAACACATCCTGCACCGGTGCCCATGGGGATCCTCTGCTCCCTCTAGGAAATACAGTTCTACCCAAAGATGCAGCTGGATGCACGTCATTTTGTCTCGGGGGAGAGCCTGAAATATTTCATGGGAGCATAAAAATATTTGCGCACATACAGGCATACATACATACACATACATAATCACACATGGTATTTCTGTGAAAACAACATTTTGTTCAGCATTTTACCCACTCAAAATACATTGGAAGGGCTCAGCATCATCCAAAGCAGAATGATCACATCCATCTGTCTTGTCTGGAATTAGTTTGTCTTTTATTTGTTATTTTTTTAAAGCATTTTGGTGACAGGAATGAATCTATTTCAGATAAAGGATGGAAGTACCTTTCTTTCTCTGCGTAATCCTGAAGTGCTTTGAAATTCACCAACAGTCATAAAAAAAAAGGGCCAAAGAGAATTTTTTCTGATCTGGTTTTGATATAAACGATGCAACGCAATATAAAAGAGCATTTACTGAAAGCCATGATAACAGTGAAAACGTGAAGAGGTTTGCATTTAAACCCCAAAGTGTGGTGGATATAAGAACCAGGAGTTGGGGAGAGGTCATGCATTCCTCTCGTGTAGATGCTTTCCAATCACATCCTTGCCTGGGAAATACCCCAGTCTTCTCCTTTCCCTACCCCTGAGGTCAGGCAGGGGATGCGCCATGTGCTGAGGTCTCTTGTAGGCCATGAAGGACAGGGGTTGTCCCCAGCTGTGTTGACCAAAGTCCCTAAGATCCACCACAGAACATGGGCTCAAATCCAAACTATGAAAGAGGGACTGAATTTCCATGTGGATGTGTGAGAGGAAGACCTGGTGGCTGCTTGCTTTTCTTTGTTCCGTGTCAGAATACGCTACAGTACATATCTTTCTTGTTTGCAGACATAAATCCTTTTTTGTGGGACAGCAGACGCGTATTTCTCCATGATCTTTCAGATTCCCTGCTTTTTTAATAAATTTCAGCAGATCTTTCAGTATTTTGTGGTGGGGCTTTGAGTAATTCTGAGCGTAAAACTGTCTGAGGAATTCTTCTCTGCAATACGTCTTCATGAGTTGACTTCCTGTGGACATTCTTGAGTGAGAACTCCATCAGAAATGCTAGTTACTGTTAAGTTGTGTAAAGATTAGGATGGGAGGATAAAAACCCACAAAAATTGTAAAGGCTTCACAAATGCATTCAGAGAAGTTGCTGAAAATTCCCTCGTATTTTCTGGGAAATTATTTTTCAAAAAACAAAAATCAATGTTCTACCTTTTCCCTGAAACATATTTGTGGCTTGGACTTTGCTAGAAATCTCTCTTGCCAAAGTTTCATTTGTTTTGAATGTTCATAAATCCATTTACATGGAGGCAACAGGAAAAAATGTTCTCTTCCCCTCTGACTGCTGCATGCCATTGGAAACCTGGGGCATCCACCCTGCCTTTGGGCCTCCAGATGAGTCCCACTTCCTCTCTACTCTTTATTTCAAGGTTTTTTTTTGTTCCTTTGGAACTTTCCATTTTCTCTTGACAAGTGCAATGGGCTGAGATGTCAAGAATCTGGGATGGGCATCCCACCCACAGCTCTGGTGGACATCCCACCAATGACTGCCATGGACTGACATGTCAAGAATCTGGGATGGGTGTCCCACCCATGACCCAGTGCTGGTGCCAGAACCATCGCCTTGCTGCTGATGACAGCTCCTGCACCCTGTGGATCCTCACCATGACAGCAGCAACAGAGCTCATTTCAATGGCTCTCAGCAGGTGCTCTGCCTCTTTCAGGACAGGAATGCTCAAGCACAACCTACAGCAGATGTGTTCCCAGCAAGCTCAGGTGCTGTTTGCCTCCGCTCTTTCACACAAACCATTTGGATTTGCTCTAAGAATTGCAAAAATGCCTTGCCACATCATTTCCATTTTATTCACAACCAGAGCCCAGAAGTGTGGGCACACGGGTGCTGCTCTGCAATCAGTCCCATATTTGGCTGTCAGAATAAAATTGAACCTACACTTCATGCCTACTAGGAAAGAAAAATAAGGAAACCCATCTAGATTAACTGGCTCGCACAGTGTCCCACAAGTTTTCATTCACAGCTTTTGCTGCCAGCGTTGCGCCATTACGAACTGAATGGTTCAAAGCTTTGTTTCTCCAGAGGCTTTTCCCTTCACATAAAATGTGTGTTATTGCAATGCATCCACGGGGCACTGTGCCAGCTGCCGTCAGCCATCTGCACACAGCGGAGCACGAAACTCGCTTGGATTGTGCTTAGCCAAGAGAAGGGGAAGGAAGTTCATTCATGGACCACACGGTTGTAAGTGGAGCTGCATGGGCTGCATTTGCTATGGACCCCAGGAGCATCTCAGCCTGTAACAGCCACAGCCCCAGCTCGAGCCTGTCCCACACACTGCTGTCATTCTTGATTGCTGATATAAAGCTGATAGAAGTCCCTAATGCAACAGCAACCATGTCCCACACTGCAGATCGGTCAATATTTACCCCAGTAAATATTGCTGCTCATTGATGCTATGCACTGTGCTTCCTCTACCAGTAACTCATACTCCCACTTGAAACAAATTACGTATCATTTAAAAAAACAGCATTCCACGTATACAAACACACACGTCTATGTAAATATTTAGAGAATATTTGAATCCTCAAAAACAGGACAAAGTACTGAGAGCATTAGCAATCATTCCTATTGCTTGCCAACCCCCAAGCACTGAGTTGTGGCCTTTCTCTGTTGCAAAGCAGCATTTCTTCTCGCTGCAGCCCCCTCAGCACGTCATGGGATGGGCAGCCCTGCACAGCATTGTACTCTGCTTGATGCTTGATTGGACTTTCAAAACAGCAGGTGTGCAAGATCCAACCCAGCATCAACCGGTGGGGACCAGAGGCTCCATCCAGTCAAAGAAAACAAAACTGAGCCAAAACACTCTTTCATGGCTTGCAGCTGGTCATTAAATGGCCGAAGCCCTCCCTAACCTGGGGGCTACGGGTCTTCTGCAAGCGACGGATGGGTGGGAGAGGGCGTCTCCGTGGAAGTGCTTATCAAGTGGAAGGAAGTTATAATAAAATTTACTGCAGTTCCACAAAGTACCACTGTTTGTGCGTTATTAATCACCTACACAGGTCCCCGTCGGAGGAAATGGCAGCCTTGACAGTGATTTATGCGCTATTTAGATAACCCGAGGGGAGTGCGTTACGAGCTCCGTGCCCGTGCTGTCATCCAAACGCCCAGGGTCCCCCTGGAGCTCCTCTTTCACCATCAAAGCCACCGCCTGCCTTATCAGGGCCACCGCCAAAACAGGCGCTTTCCAAACCCATCTCAGTTCCTCCCATCGCCGCGACAT